TTTGCTTCGAGCCCTGTGTACAGGAGCTGCATGCTAAAAGATCTTTTGTTAAAAGGGTTGGCGTAATAAGCAAATGCTTCAGCCAATACCTTTTGATTAGCCTTGTCTCGTGCTTTCTTGCTTTGTGGTAAATCTTTGTTCTGTCTTCACTGAGATATTTGAATGCTAATCAATAAACATATCAATTCAAAAAAATAATAATAATAATAATATTTAATAAAGTGGAATAAAATGTGAGATTAAACCACATAGAAAGGTTTGACTGTTGTGTCACTGATAGACTGCTGTTTAAAAATCCAGTCAGACTTGTGGTTGAACGCCTCCATGTGGTGGAAAGTTGCACTAGGGATACTTAGTTAATAGCGCCACCTAACAACTAACAATTTTTGGAGTTGTCTTTGATTTTTCCGAAAACATCAACCTGTCACATCACTGTTTAAACCAAGATTTTAAAAAAAGAAAAGAAAAAATCTAACTCAGAAGGTATTTACCAAACCTTTCACGCCTGCGTTTTTAATATCAAGTCCTAGAAGTATGTTTGCTTTAGATACAGCAAGTCTAAAGTTCAGCTGTTACATTGTTACTGTTTTCTCTCAGCGTGTGCAACTTCAGGTACAGGCTAGGCATGTGTGCAGTCATCTAAAACATGTACCTGTTTCGAAAACCAGTCCGGAAAGCCTTTTTAGTCATTTCAATTATTTCTCCAACCTGTCAGGCGGGGCTGTGGCTGAGGAAGCTGGTTTATGGTTATCATGCAAACAACTCTCCAGATTTCGCTCACTTTGCATGGGCGTGAGTCATCAACTCCTTTTTTAGGTACTAGCAATATGAAAATGCCATGCCTCTGTTCGTTTAATCTAATATGGTCTAATGCACGGTTTATCTTCGAAAATAGGAATACAGATCAAACTAGAATGAAAGTTAAATCTGGTTGATTTTAGTTGATGCTCACGTAACATGTACTTCCGGTGTCCCACTTCAACGTTAAAGTTTGTACAGTTTTTTATTCTATATAAAACTGTACAAAACACATTGTTGGTTTGTCCTAAAAACGCGTTTTAGATGTAAATTTTGGTATCTCATCGGATAAAATAAAATATATATATAATCGGAAGTCTCCTGATACCTTACGTGATTCTCAGGAAAATGGCATACGCGCCGCCTACTCCTTTCTCGTGTATCTGCATTCCTGCATATATGTTTCCTGACAAGTATGAAATCGGGACTTGTTGTGTTCGTGCTTGATAATTGTGGCAGTGCACACGTCAGTAACGTGAACTAAGTCCATGTATGCGCCTGCTATGTACACAGCCGCAGATACCGGAGGGGGAGGAAGTCATTGTTTGTTTTGTGTCATAATTCCGAACAGCACCGGGCTCTTTTCCATATAAGAATAAAAAGGGACATAGTAGGATTTACCTAATAACAGTGGCAAAGCAGCAGAAACCATTTCCACGTTATCTTTTCCCTCACGCTATCCCATCGGACAGCCAGTAATAATGTGGGTGGGACTAAAGCGTGCATCACCCACGGTTAACACTGATGAACTCTTCTCTGATACTCCGGCTGGGCTACAATGAAACATTTTTGTTACTTTGAATGACTCTTTTAGCTCTTCGCCCTGTGTGTGGAGCCGCCGTGAGCCGATCCGTGGCTTGAACTTAGCTGACAGTAAGTATTTTTCAGGCCTATGTCGGACTTCTATTTCCATCCGCTGTGTTGTCGCAGTACTGACGAGTGCGGATTGTCCAGCTGCAAACTCGCAGGTATCGATAAGGATTACGGCGATCCTATTAGTGCTGCGCTTAAATCTATGTTTTGTTCCCAACAGATGTCTTTATATGGGAAGTTTTTTTTAAACTACACCGAGTCTCTTTGTGGATTGTGGCTGTAGTAGGGAAACAGGGAAAGGGTGGAGACGCCAAAACTTAGCCTTCAGCTTTTCCAGCCTGGAGTCTTAAATAGACTTTGCTGCTTATAGATGCTTTGTCTTTGGCGAAAAAATTAAAAAGTGATTTTCGTTAGTGTAGATTAGGGTGTGTGCTTGAGAAAACTCCATCAGATGCAGTTATGTTTGTTTTATTTCTCTCTTTGTCTTTCTTTAAGACGTTTTTTTAAACACTGACTTTTTGCCCTAACGCTTTAAAAACGTGATCAGACGGACTATTCTTAGCCACAGCACAGTTTTGGGGGAAAATCTTGATGGTAAGCAAGTGTTGACTCAGCGCTGTTGTTTCAGTCATCAAGTTGATGACTAACAATTGTCTTCTGTCTCTTGGTTGCACGTTTTAGAGTCGGTCCGTAGATTTCCCATACAAATTCATTTTAAAGATCACGTATGCAAAACACAACTTCCCCTTAATCAAGGGAAGACCATTTTTTTAAATAGGTCAGCTGATGTTCAGGCTGAATAGCTGATGAATGATGTTTACAAGAAAAAGAAAATATGATGGGTATGTAAACACACAAAAACAGCTTAAAAAAAGTCAGGTTGCAGGTGAAGGATTGTCAGAGGTACACTGCTGCACCTGTACACACACCCAGCTGTGATGTCAGATTGTACATCATCATTGCAGGGTGTGCCATCCTTATCTAGTTGAGGCCATAAGTGAAAACTGCATGGAATTAAACTGCTATGTGAAGTGTGATTGTTTTGCTGATCATCTCCTAACATTTCCCTTGTATCAGCCAGGTGTCATTGTTTGAGATAACCACTGGGAGTCAGCAAAGTCAGGAATCTCCTTATTTATCCCTTTATCCATAGATTTTCTTCCACTTATCCATTCAATTTCTGGAAGCTGGAGCCTATTTCAGCTGTCACAGGGCAAAGGCAGGGTGCAGGTAGACAGTCTGTCACAGGGCCGACACAGAGAGACAGACAGCCATTCGTAAACAAATTCACACATAACCGCTGTAACTGCATGCCTTTGGGCTGCGGGATGCAGCTGGAGTACCCATGGAGAACATACAAACTACACACAGAAAGGCTCCAACTAGATGGTGGATTTGAACTCACCTTTCTCCCTTTTAATTATCCAAACAAACACGTAATATGTTTTGAATTCAACACAGCACTGCTATCAGTGTGTTTGATAGCATTTGTAATTGCTCCAGAGTCGGTACTGCTGAGATATTAAAAGTCATCCATTGCACCCCACACATACACACAAACAAAGCCACATTGTTCTTGACACATAGCGTGTGTGTTTAAAGGATTGCGATCATTGGACTCTTTCTAATAGCTTACCTCTCAGCCAGTCACAGCATTCCAATTTGATTAGTCTCATGTTTTTTAAAACACAGTGTGGGTATAGTGTAGTATTTACCATGAAAGTAACCTGAGCAAACAGTGTAGGCAAAGTTTAAATCAGACTTGCAAAATGCAGGGAAATCACATTAAGTCAACACTTAACACTTCCGTGCTTCAAAATGTAAACAGATAACAGCAGCTAGTTGGGTTTGGTACTTAATGAGAAATATCTGTTTTGGTTTAGTTTTTATCATGTTTACCTCTGTACTGTGCGTCTTGCTTGCTTAGGGGCAAGTGTGAGCAAGTCTTTCTTGCGAAAGTATAACACCTAAAAGTGTGTGGAAAAACTGCTGTCTGTGTTGGAATACACCAAAGATCTCACACGTGAGTGTCTTAAAAAGATCCAGCTCCATAAGTGGAAATAACCAAAAAAAGTGGCCTTAGCGTGGAGATTTTTTTTCCACAGCAATTAAAATGTCACTTGTGCTTTCTTGGGAAGCAAAGGTGGGGAAGATCCGTCCTAATGGGAATTAAATTCTAAACCAGATTGTTGTCAAGACAAAAAAGCTTATACGAATACAACATATACACAGTGGTGATCTATATTTTAAAAAAAAACATGGCTGTACAGATGACACATTTGGGACACTGTGCAAATGTGCAGATCTCTTCAACATCAGTCCTTTAGATTCATTACATCAGCAAAAAGTGGAAAGAAATCTTGGCCACAAAGTGCTGATTATTAAGTTCATCTGTCACATTTCCTTTTGTTTTCCCTCTTAGTCTCCTTATTAGTAGATGCTAGTTCACGCCCGACACAGTACTTGTGACGGGATCTTCAAGTATTATTCTTCCTGAACCTGTTTTTGCAACACATGATCCTGTGTAGCTTGTAGTGGAAGTGGAAAGTCACGTTTCTGCTAAAAAGAATTTTAGAATGCAGACGCAGATCATGCTTCTTTCTTTCTTACCCTTGTTTCAAACTCTCTCTCCTTAACAGAGACAGGCTCCCTCCCTCCTTTTTCTTAAGCCTCGTTTTCCAGGAAACATTCAGCTATTCTACATTTACCAACATGCAACACAAAGAGTTTCACACACCCTTTTTATTTACACCAGTAACCTTGTCCTAAACTTCTCATATGTTTTGACATAAATGACTTGCCTAGCAGGTCGCTGCTGACAAACAAGCAAGTGATATCTAAAACAGTCTGTTTTTACAGACGTGATAATGGGGGTTGTCCTTGAATTCCCCCTGTTGAGCAATCAAGATATGTCATCATTATTGAGCATTAGATTCACTTCAAGGTCATGATCACACTGACGGATTTTGCTAAGCATCAAACACTTAAACTGCATCTCTCTGTCTGTTTTAAAGCTGACATGTTTGTGGTTACAGGACTGTATTATTGCCTTTATTACTACTTTTCCTACAGAAAATCCGAAGTCAGATACTCTTGCTTTAAAATCCAATTTTGCTATGATCTATATCACGAGAAAGGCCACAGTTTCACATGTGTTTGATCTCTGGACTGTTTTCTTTTGTCTTCTCACCAGGGCATTAAATCATTTGTACAACAGAGCTATGGCCAGTCCAGAGGACGTGATCGAGCCGTTGGCAGAGAGCGCAGCTGCCCAAAACCTTAATAGACGACGCTTCTCACACGACTGCCACGATTTGACTAAAGACGAGCTAGATGGCCTCATGTCACGCAGTGGTGAGAAACGACGAAAATGAATTTAGTTTAAGATAGAAGCTCCCCATTGAGAAACCATTTTTCTTGATTGCTTCAATTTCTCAAATCGCAGAAGGACGTCCTTTCATCGTGGTGCATCATCTTTCCGAAATAGAAGATAAGGGTATACCTTATTTCATCCCTGATGTTCCTGTTAAATGCAGACTGGACAACACAGAGAAGCACACTACACGCTCAAGGGTACCTCCATAAACTTACGAAAATACCCTTTACATTTTTTTCTTTTTGGGATACTAATGAATCTTTATAGAAAGCTCTTGATGGGCCCAAAGTGAAAACACACACACTTATGCTTAATAAGTAACTCTTTACAACTGTGTAACAACAGACAATCCCATTTTCGATTTTGACTCAGGACATGCTACGGTTAAATTTGACTACTTTGCCATGATGACGTTAAGTCATAGTGAAGCGAAAGGAGCGATAAAATTACAAAAGAAACTTTATTGCTACTGAGCAGGCTGTTTCAGGGTTTTACAGTGTGCTGTCACTTTGGCCATAAAGGGATCAACATGGCCAGCAGCAGCGCTCAGTGGTGCTTAAATGATGCTCACTTGGTAGTACGGGGCTCAAAGTGTGACAAGAAAATACCCCCCACACCATTACACCACTACCACCAGCAGCCTGAACCATGGATACAAGGCACCAGAGACAACAACCACGACACGTTCAAAGTCATTTAAATCAAATTTGTGGTGAATTTGATTATGACTGTTGTTGAATGAGTCCTAAAGATAATATTTTAGTGATCTGAAACCAACCATATGACCATGAAACAGTCAGTCACATTCATTTCTACATAGTCATTTATATTAAAAAGCAGAAGTTCATGGGTATCTTAACAAGTACTGATCTGTAGATGCACTTCATGTCCCTTTATTTGTTAGTTAACTCCTGAGGTTTATTTGGCTGGCTCAGTCAGTTTGCATACACTTTCCATATTCTGGTATCCACATTCTCTGATTTTCTTTCTCCCACAGTCCAGAATGGTGAATGTAAGTAGAATTAGAAACTTGTTTCTACGTGTTTTAATCAAATCCACGTGCTAAATGTCTTGCCTGATATCCTCCGGAAACCCAAACTTTTTTTAAAATGCATTTTTAATCTTAGCTATTTGGGATTAGCTGATTATAAAAACTGTCTGCATGTGGAAACAGTGGGTTTATTTTACAGCACAGTAAAGTATTTTCATTGGGAGAAATGTTTTGTTACTCATCTAAGTGACTTCTTCACTGTCCAGATGAACAGAATCAACTTTTTGGGGTCATTCTTTTTTATTTTTTTACAAAGTGTAAAACACTTTATTGAGTAGAATGAAGTAAAATGTGTGTAAAAGCCTAAATGTAATTTCTCCATATGAGGACATAGGGTCTTAGGAGGATATGAAACAAAAAAAAAACCTTTACGCTACTTCCTGGTTCATCTTTGATCTGCAGCACTTACAAAATGGCAATTAAAAAAGGACTTTGGGTGTCTTAACTCTTATCTTCCAAGTAAGTGATTTAGAGATAAATTCATCTGTCTATTCAAATTGTGGTTTTCTTTCTTACTGGGAACTACGTTAAAGCTGTGGCTGGCAAAACACAGTCCAGTTGCTATGAAAACAAGAGCTAATAAGAAAAATTCTATTTCATTCAAATCACTCAAATTTTTGGCATTTGGTGGTTCCCCTTTTTCACCACCACACTTATGTTTTTGTATGATATCAATGATGTCCCTCCAGGTTAGTGTTGGGACCCTGTATACACTGCATCTAACACATGGCCAGTTCCACTGGACTATAAAGAGGAAGTACAAGAACTTTCAGGAGGTGCATCGCGACCTTTACAAGCACAAGATGATGCTTCATTTACTGCCTATTGGAAGGTTGGTGTGCTGATCGATTTAACTGTGCAACTTGTCCTCTCTCTCTTAATGCAGTTTAAATCTGAGCGATTGTTTGTTTTGAGCTTTTTTTTATGGCAGTTCTCTCAAGCGCGGAATGTTTTTGAATATTCAAATTTTCCTCAAAGATTTGCAAAGGAGAGGCAGCAGCTGAGAAATATGTCGGAGGAAATGCCCAGCCTACATGGGACTGAGCGGGCCAGAAGAACCTCCAGCAAAGTGGTATATAAATCAGTCTTCCACACACTGAACATATTTTGAAGCATCACATAATTTTAAGTATTATGTGATGTATAATAATAAGTAGCAGCTGGTAAATAAATTGTAAATATGTGCTCTTCTAATGCAGAAATACCTTGAGGAGTACCTGAATTGTCTACTGGAGAACACATTCTGTAAAAATGATAGCAGCATGGTAAGCATGGGTGAATAATATATACACTACATTGCAAAAAAAATGGCTGATTTTTCATACATTTTCAGTCCTTGTACCTGACCATTTTTAGAGAAATGTCTTTTTGTTTGTTAAGACACTTAAACCATACCTATTCATCATTCAAGTACAAAAGATGCACCTAACCCAAGGAATGAACCAGTGTCGTCTACACTTAACAGACAACTTAACAAAGAATCGGTTTTAAATTGTGTCAGGCAGCCTGTCATAAAAACACATAATTTAATCCACTTTCATAAAATGAATCTACCAAAAATGCAAAAGATAACATAGTCTTACAAGAATGAAATTATGTTTTTGCAACAACAAAATGATTCCCAAAAAGCTATTAGTCTAAAACTTGGCACGAACACAGAAAAATTCTTTCACATTTTGATTGACCATACAATACCCATCTAGAAAGCCTCTAATTGGCAACAGGTTTATGCCAATGCAGCAAAGGATACGTGGATAGAAAAACCCACAGTGGAACCCTCTCAGTCATGAGTTATATAGTTAAATATGACCAAATATTGACTTTGAAGCTTGTTAGAATTGTACATTACCTGATTTTCTTAATTTTTATACTGTACTCCCATGTATGTTTAGACATTTTTAAATAAATTGTTGCACCTATTTCTAATGTTTCTAGCAAAATACAAAGAAAAGGGAAGTGGCTCAAGACCTTTCATTGTACCGTCTCGACATACAAAGTAAATCTCAAGTAAAATGACTGCATTTTGAGTTCTATTTTGTTTTGCAGCTGGAGTTCCTCTCCATCAGTCCCCTCTCCTTTGTCTCTGATCTTGGACCCAAGGGCTTGTAAGCAAAACACTGAGCTCATGTATTTTAGTGGGTTGGGAGTGAATGGCAGGTGTTCATTGCATAATATGTCTGATCTTGACTCAGGGAGGGATATATCTTGAAGAGGTCAGGGGGTCACCGAATCCTAGGCCTGAACTGTATAGGCCATCATCAGATCTGCTTCCGCTGGTCACGCCGCTGGCTGGTGGTGAAAGACTCTTTCCTGTTGTACATGAAACGAGATAGTGGCAGCATCGACTTTGTGCTGCTGTTTGATCCAGAGTTCAAAACGAAAGTGGGTCGTGCTGACACAGGCACCAAATATGGAGTGTGCTTTGAGAACTTTAATCGGTAGGTCAGCTTTATCTTTGTGTACTGTATGTACTGAGTTTTGCGTGTTTTTGCTGTGTTTGTGATGCACACATTGCCTTTGTGCTTTTAATCCTTTTAATCAGGAATTTGATTATCAAGTGCAATGGCTATAGGCAAAGTCAATGGTGGAATTCTGAAATCAAGCGTCTGGCAGAAACATGTGACTTTCTCAAAACGCACCGCTTCGAAGGATTCGCTCCACCGCGGGAGAACACGCTCACTAAATGGTCAGTTATGTAGTCTGGCTCATATTTGTAATAATTCCAATAATCTTTTAGGATTTGTCCTCAATTTACCTTTCATCATTTGAAGGTATGTGAATGGAAGTGGTTACTTTGCCGACCTGGCTGATGCTCTCGAACAAGCCAAGGAGGAGATTTTCATCACAGATTGGTGGTAGGTGTCAAAAATCTCTGGATTTGCTGATCGAAATCTTTATGTAACTATAATTTTTCAATATTTTAGTTAAACCTGGAAACGTATTCCCTGTGTGCGTGTGTGTCTGTATGTGTGTGTGTGTTTTTTGCTTCTTTCACAGGCTCAGTCCTGAAGTCTTCCTAAAGAGACCAGCAACTAACAACTACTGGCGGCTCGATGAGATCCTCAAACGCAAAGCAGTAGGGAGTCTCTCTGTCTTGTTTTTGTTGCCATCTTGTTTTTTTTTCAAAATGTATATAATTTGTAGAGTTTTTTAAAAAAATAACATTACTTTAAATGAACCTGTTTCTGCAGGAAATGGGAGTCAAAGTGTGTGTACTGCTGTACAAAGAGGTGGAGATGGCACTTGGCATCAATAGTGAGCACAGCAAGAGGACTCTAATGAATATGCACCCAAACATCAAGGTCTTTCACTTCTCTGCACAATGTCTTGTAGAGTAGTAGGAGAGGAGGGACACAAATAACTGTTAAAGAAGCCCTGAATGTACATTTTAACACCAGTTTTACCCACTGCTCCGTCAGGTGATGCGGCATCCTGACCACGTGTCTTCTGTGGTGTTTCTGTGGGCTCACCATGAGAAGATGGTGGCCATTGACCAAACAGTAGCCTTTGTAGGGGGGCTTGACCTGGCTTTTGGGAGATGGGATGACAGCCAGCATCACCTAACTGACCTTGGTTTGACAGAGACGACCGACGGGGTAACTGAAGGCGAAACGAGGAACGATGTAGATGTAAGAATGTACTGTGAACCGTACAGACTGTAATGGATGACTCTGTTATCCAGGGCAATGGTATGGCTGGTGGCTCTAAAACATCTGAGCCAGATAAGCAAGGAGAGCAGGACCCACGTGATTTGACTGGTAACAGTAAACTGTGGCTTGGCAAAGATTACAATAACTTTATCAAGAGAGACTGGGTCCAGCTGGATAGACCATTTGAAGGTACTCTATCTAAATTTCTTTCAGCAGCTCATGCACACACATACACTGACAATGCCTGAACAGAGAGATGAAAGACTTGTTTTGGGGTTTTTTTTTTTGCTTCCTTTCCCCCCTCTTTTATCTTGTCAGATAACATTGATCGTGCTACAGTTCCTCGCATGCCGTGGCGTGACCTGTCTGCAGCTTTTCATGGCAAAGCTGCCAGGGATGTAGCCCGCCACTTCATCCAGCGCTGGAATTTTACCAAGGTCGGACACAAAAGAAAGCTGTGTTAAACAGCAATAGTTTTAACATTGATCTTTATATATCTATATGTTTATTGTAAACACCACTTTTGCTTTACAAATGAGTCTATAGGTGTACAAGCTACAGGTTGGTTTAACATTTATACTATAAATATCCAAAGTTCTGAAACTGAAACATTGGATTGAAAATTGGTGATCTTTACTAAAACAGAGCTTAATATAATCAGACTCCTGTATTACTGACATGAACCTTGTATTCTTTTGTTTTATGTTATCCTGTGTGGTAATATGACTCATACAGTAAGTGCTAAAAAAAAACCCATCCCCAACCCTCATGTTTCCATTAGAAGTATTGCTTAAAAACCTTTAAGCAATGCTTTGGAAACATGAGTAACAGGAAAGTGACAAATCTGAAATTGATTCATTCTTTCTGTCCTCTTCAGATCTTCAAAATCAAGTACAAAGACGACTTCTACCCTTACCTTCTTCCCAAGTCTCATTCCACTGCTGACTCTCTGCCATTCACTGTGCCTGGGTCCAAGAAAGCCAAAGTGCAGGTGTGTATATTCACACACAGACTCAAGATGACGTCAACATCTGTGTAAATATACAATTTTTAAAGTTCTAGTCTTTTTGCTCACAGATAGGCCCACATATGTGCTACTGTGGTCAGGGTATATTTTAGGTGCTTTAAGATTAAACAGTTCTGGGAATTCCCTGTGGGTAACTACCCACTTCCATGGACCTCTGAGAACTATATTTTTTTCCAATTTGCTTAAATCACCAGTAGTAACGCTAATGTGATGCGTTAGCCAGCTGGTAGTTTGCAGAGCTACAACAACAGCAACATGCTGGGGGACTCTGTATCTGGAGCTGTTTGCTTGTTGTGTGTTCCAGGTTGCTGACAACAGCACAGATGTGCAAATTCATATTATGCAAATTAAATTGTGAATTTTGTGGGCTTTAAAGTAAAACAACATATCACTGCAACTGACCATTTTCTTTATATGCTGTCAATTATACAAGGAGCAAGTAATCTTAAACAGGTTAGTGGCTCTAACTTTTTCACTGTGCCTCCCACAGCTGCTGATTATAGTCTCCAAAAGCATGAATAAATCAATCAATCATTAGTGCCCAGCATATTCTCATCTATTGCCAAGGATAACACGCAGGAAAACATACTGGAACCACTTTGGTTGTGGTGGTCCTTTAACTTTGTTGTAATCCAAATTTAATTGATTGTAATCACTTAATAAAGCCTAGACTTTTCCATTTGAGAGGAATGTGTTGTTTACACGGGCAGTGTTAAAATCCTTCTTTAATGACTCTGCTTATGTTTACAAAGGTTTTTCAGATCTTTCCTGCAGTCCAAAGAGCACCTTTTTAGCCCTTTCATACACTGACGTCAAAACACTGACAGGTTAAGATGTGAGCCTTTGTGCATATGATGTGAGCTTTTGCATGCTAGATACATTATATAATAATTTAATATTATATTATTATATAATAGTTTTATTCACCACTACTTACATATTTGCTGCAGAACTGTAGCTAGTTGTAAAACTATCCACAGTTCTGTTTCAGCAGTCATGTGCAAAAGAAAGTGTAACCCCTTTCATTTCTAATGTTTTATGTAACAAGAGAAACCTCATCATTGCACAGTTATTTAAATGCAATCTCAGATGAACTTCAAAACATGACTTATTACCCTGTCGTTATTTAGTGAACAAAAATGAAGCCAAAAATGAAAAGCAGTGTGTGAAAAACTAAGTACAATCTTACTGCTTCCATAGGAATTACAAGGGTACGTAGCAGCCAGGTGCTGCTAATCAAATGCACTTCATTAACTAATCATCAGTAAGTGTGAGCACCTCCAGTAGAGAAGCAAGTTGTTGCTGCCCATCAATCCGGGAAGGTTTTTAAGGTCATTTCCTTACAATCTGAAGTCCATGTTTGTACAGTGACAAAGATTATTCACAAGTGGAAAATATTAAAGATAGCCACCAATCTTCCCAGGAGTGGATGTCCCAGCAAATTCCCTCCAGTGTCCGAGTGTGCAGACTCTACAGGCCTGTGTTAGCATGTTAAATGTTCAAGTTCTTCACAGTACAAGAAAAAAGACTGAACAAATAAAGCTTGTTTCTCTAAAAAGGCAGGTACATGGCAGCACAACTTAGATTTGCAAAGTTTCACTGTCACTTGGACAGACAAAACCAAAGTGAAGGTGTCTGGCCGCAATCCACAGCGACACATTTAGCATAAACCAGACACGGCAGATCAGACCACACACCTCATACTGTCACACCTCACTGTCATGCATGGTGGTGGTGCAGTGATTATTTGGGCAGGCTAGCTTGAACCAGATGATTTTTTTTATTCTATCTGATATGTAAAACCTTAAAACTAAAAGAGTCTGTACTTTCATTTGCACAGGACTGTAGGCTTCACGCTAGAGCTTGATAGAAACTGGGTTCTCCTGCACAGAAGGTCAACCTTGGATACGGGAAAACACAAAGACTTTGCCTCTAGCTGCCAGTGCTCATATGAAAGACTTTTTGTGTCACACTGCTCCAAGCTATAATGACATGGTGTAAAGAGAGCTTTCAACATCACTGTTAAGACGGCAAGAAGAATTGAAAACATGTAGAGTGCACATTAATGAAACGTTGCTGTTGGTCATATGTATACTGTATTCTTATTGAATAATTATTTAAGACCTTAATTGCTGTAAACAAGCCAAGAATGAAAGACCTCTACTGACTTTTACATGAATTTATTCTTTTGTGCCGCCAGGTCAGATCTTACAGGAAATCAGATGGGTATTTCTGTGCTACAACAAAGAGATATTTGTTCTAGGGGAGTTCTAGTGTTGGAAATGCAGCTATTCAGTATTTGCTGTTTGTTTTTTTTTGTTTTTTTTTGTGCTATGGCAGATGGTGGAACAAAAGTAAAGCCTGTAGAACAAAACTACTTCCAACATATTTATCCTGTTTAGTAAAGCCAGAGAAAACAAATGCACTGCCAAGGACAGAGTGGGATTACAAGTGGCAGCATCTCACTTGCAACAGGCTTCATAGGATCTATGGTCCAGAGAGACACCAGCATAAGCAGCACAACTAGCAGATATCCCCTTAACAGAATAATAGAATAATAATATATTGCTAAAGATGGTGCGTTAGCAATGTTGTGAAGATGCTTGTTTTGTAAGAATAATTCAAAAACAAGATGACAATATGTTAGAACTGTATTTAATCAGTATTTTTAGCCAGTGTTACATGCTGCAGTTAAAACCGCTCATTCAGTGAGTGTCCAGTAACAGATACTTCTATTGTGGATGGTGGCCTGTAACCATAACCCTTGCTCCCCATTATGTTGTAGCTTTCCTATCAGGTTCTGTAGCTGCTTTATTCAGGTTTCAGGGTCATTGCTTCAGATTACACAATCTGTCTTCAAACTTTAAGAGGTGCGCTCCCTTTTTGTGCATCTGCTCCATTTCTTCTGTTAAGTATCCTATTAAAATTCATAGAAATGGACGAATTTACATGTGCAAGGTAATATGATATGTAAGTGTGATTGCAATGGTAATATCCACAGTACTAGTAAAATGACACCACTGAAAAGAGATAAAAATATATGCATGATTTATAAGTATATCCAGTGCTAAGTTGAATTTTTGGGGTTTTCTCAGGTGCTGCGCTCTGCTGATCGTTGGTCAACTGGAACCTGTGAGAGCTCAATCCATAACGCTTACATCGACACCATCAACAAGAGTGAACACTACATCTACATCGAGGTAATTAAGATTAACATTGTAGCACTTTACAGATAAATGTACATCTTTAAGCAGGCAGTGTGTCATCCTGTCTAAACCATATTAAGGCTCGCTGTGCCTTAATATGGTTTAGACAGCAGTGATACAGTCAGGGCTCCCATTGGGACAAAATTGTCACCGTAATCGCAAATATGTTGCCTAAGAATAGGCTCTGATTTGGAAAAAACAAATCTGTTTACCAGCATGCCTACTATAATGACTTTTCCTGAATCTGAGTATATCCAAAGCCCACTTCCTTCATTGCCAGCTACCTGCTAGCTTTGGCCCTCACCTCATACTGAGCCACCATCTGCCTTGCCTCTGCCCTTAGAACCAGTTCTTCATCAGCTGTTCCGACCAGAAGACTGTCCATAATGGCATTGGTGATGCAATCGTGAATCGAATTCTGCGTGCCTACAGGTATGACTTGAGTGTGTTGGTTTTCTAATATTTGTCTATTGTCTTTCGGAGGGGCTGTGTACAAAATGCATTCATTAAATATGTTTTGTACCAGATTTAGCTACTAGCTAATTTCCATCTTCAGTCCCTGGGCAGTTTAAGAAGCAGAAGTAGCTGAATTCTATCAGCTCAGACACACATACAACAGTTACAAGTGTTTCTTACTTGCTGGCCAGCAGCATCCCATGAAGGAGCAGTGGCCATCTTCAGCTAAAATGCTCATTTTTAACTTGTAACATGTGTGACAGCGGCTGTCAATCATTAGTGTACGCCCTGCCCATGCCCCGCCCCCTTGACACACGCCCACAACAAAAAATCAGGGTCAAAAGTTTGACAAATGAAAAAAAGTGAAAAAAAGGCCCGAAACTGAATTTTTTTTAATTTGAAACAGAAAATAAAATTTGAAGCTGAAAAAAATGAAACTGTAAAAAAAAGTCATTTCCATGAAAACAAATAATTTATTCAAATTATTTTTATATCAAAAAGAATTTCAACTTCAAATCACCTTTTTGAAATGAGTAAAA